TGCAAATTAACACATGAAAGCGAATTTATTTCACGTCTCGAGCTAAATGTATAATAAGAGTATATGTGTGTTGTGTGTTTATATATATATATGTACGTTTATTTATATATTATTATTATTATTATTTTATACCACGACAAACATCGGCCACGGGGTTTTGAATTTTAAACAGCTAAAAGGTCATTGTGAAACGGCAAGAAAATAAAAAAAAAAACAATGTAAACGTCCTCCTCGCAACGAGCCATTGTTTCGCGCCGTGTATTTTTTCTGACGTACATTCCAAGTCTCTGCGTTGAATTTAATTTTATTATTTATGTATCATAATAATAATGGTATATATTAAACTCGATATTTTATCATGCAGTTACGACTGTACACACACACACACACACACACACACACACACACACACACACACAGATACATACATAAAACATCATGAATCATAATCATATAATTTATACCTAACCTATGCGTATATATATTATTTTATATTATTATATATAATAGTCGGACGACGGTCCGAAATGTGTTATTACCGTGTAAAATGTAAAAGACTATATACTTATTAGGCGGCGGGGAAATGATTTAACGGTGGCGCGCGCGTATTCGGCAAATATCGCGAAATTCTATTTAATATTATTATTATATACCTGCCACAGCAACGACGGTGGTGGTGTTGTTACCCTTTTTTTTTTTAAACATTATTCACCCTCAACCCCTTCTACCCTCGTGTGTACATGATTACACTGATTAATGTAACCTAAGTGGCATGTCCCGCGTCGTAAATTATTCTTCAAAGGCGAATCGCGTGTTCGATAACCATGTGCCGCCTTGTCATGCCATTCAGCCATATTCGGGCCACCGCCTCCGCCTATTCCTCCTCTTCCTCATCCTCCTACTCACCTACCTTCCTTCGACAAGCGAAACACCACACCGGTCACCCCGTCACTTTTTACCACCACCGATATTATACAGAGTACTATATTATTATAATATATACTATACATAGGTAACGCTGCCTGAGCATATTATATTTTATACATAAATATACCTATACAAATATCATGTATAACATATACAGTGTGTGTGTGTGTGTGTGTATGGGTCAGATACTGAAACTTCAATGATTATATTATTATATATTTTGGTTCTTCAAAAATATACAAAATAAAGGTTCTCCATCCAACTCATGATTAATAATAGTATTTTTTAACCTTATTTCACTTTTTCTGTACATATAAATAATAATATACAAAACATATTAACTGTGTATTTACCTCCTATCCTATTTAAAAATGGAATATAAAATATTATTTAAATTTTTTTACCGTAAAAGAAAAATACACATATAATATATAATACTAAATACATATTACACGTACATTCTATAATCGATATCATACACATTACACAGTTTGTAGGCATTGATGTTAAAAGACAAAAAGCTTCGAACAGATTTTATAAGATAGCGTAAAAGAATTTCAAACATTTCAAAATTCAAGATGACTATACATTTCGTATTATAAAACTAATAATTATTAACTACACACTCACGGTGGTCGTTGCGGCAAGATGACAATGTACATTATTTTTCGAGCGCATATTATTATAATATTACGACTGGCATTATTGTGCATAGTTACGACACGAAATATGTGCATATTTCTATAGGATTAATTGTGAAAAAACCACAACAGAACTAGGTGGCAGTAAAAATCAATGGAGATAATAAAAATAAAAAAAAAAACTAGAAGAACCGATGAAGTGAGGTATATATCCGACAGACTGCAGACCACGTTTGACGGTTTTTCACAGTTTGACACTAAAATAGTAAAATAATAAAAAATATAATATCATAATATTTTGTGTACTATCGTGTTTATTACATAATACCCTGACAATCTAAATCGTCTAGACGCAAAAGAGCATGCAAAAGTAAAATCATCATAATTATTGTACGTATTATGTAGTTTAATATCGAAAACCCGTATTAAATAAAGTACAATATTATTCATAACAATACGAGAAATATTAATAAGAAACACCGGTGAAATGAAAGCGTAGCAGTTGTGTACCAGAATTGCATACCCGAAACGCCGTGTTACTATAGTTATTTAATATATTATTATTTAATAATAATCTTTATTGACTGGTTGCAGCTAAATATTTATGAATCAATAGTGGTAGCTATTGAATTTAACGCTTAAACATGAATTAGTGGCCAATGATTGGTCCATTGAATTACTCTGCATTATTTTTATGATAACAATATATAATATTTCGTTGTTCATGAAGTAGATTCTTATCATGTCAAACTTCAAAGTTTTCATTATCCCGAATTAAATAATTTAAATCCTGTCGAAACTTCTATTACAATAAAACTCAATATCTCAAATTTCTTGATATCTCGAATTTTTTTTCTGATTATTTAACAAAAGAAATGAATGAACAAAAGTAATTTATCAACTTGCAAAATAATATGTAATTATAAGATAATTACTACATCTGTTGTAGTATGCGACTATCAGTTTTAGTACAGTAACCAATTATGAATTTTCAAGTTACAGTATATTGTAACTTATAACTAGTTGCAACTATTCGAGTAACTTGCCCATCCTTGATTGTTTAATATCAGAAATGTAAATCAAAAGATTTTCATAAACCTAATAAAGTTTTGCTCGTGAGTCTCCTACTATTAAATAAATTATATGACGATAACGTTGCACGTAATATCGTGGTCAATCGTTCTAGGGTTTTTAGAGGGGGGGTGCGTGAACCCACGTCTTAGAGTTTTTGAGACGACATATTTTAATTACCTACTCTATTAATAAGCGTATAAACTATATACGGCCATAATAATATAATATTATCGGCTCACTTTCCGGGCTCAGTGAAACTCAGCGAAGCATTGTCCACCGTGTTATTTCTATCATTATTGTTATTATCATTATCATTATCACCGCCATCGCAACGACATCCGGCCGCATTCGACATCGATTTTGGCTCACAGAACCCATTAACCGGCGAATTAGGTAGTATAATACTATGTACGGACTTGTGAGATGTGCGGTATGCGATTCAGTGCTAATATAACAAGTAGCATTCGTCGATTATATTATTATAAGTCAAGAAACAACACTTTACGGGCGGCGATTCAAGACGACCGACGAACCGGACCGATTTTAATATCACGGAAGAATACGTCGTTATATTATAATATACGATTATTATACTATTTTAGACCGAATATAAAACTAGTCACGTCATTTCATACTTAACGACGCAATATTTAAACACGATCTTTTGACCACAACAATAAATTATGTTTTAGTCCCTTTATTAATTGTTCGTGCAAATAACTTACGGTTCATTACATTGCGCTAGTGAAAAACACGAGTTTTCCTGAACAAATATAAAACATTAAGTATGATAATTGACACAAATTATTGCGCACACGACGAAATCAAAAACTCGAGTTCATAATTATAATTATGATATATTATAAATTATTATTCATTCAATTGAAAGGTCATTTCCGTCACTATTACAATAATAATTACGGTAGGTACATGCAACCTAGCTTGTAATTTTCGGTTTCCGAAAACAATTATAATTGATGGACAGTTGCCTAACTACGGAAGTCGTGCAGTTATTTTACATGCACGTAAAATAGTGAATATTAAATCAGTTGCAGAGTGAATTCAATTTGTTTTTAAATAATTATATTTCAACTACGAATATTGTTTTATAATATATGCGCGATCGTCCAACCCGTAGAATTTATTTAAATTATATTATTATTATTACTATTGTTATATTACCGTAAAGGTCGGTAGGCACGGTATTTTAAAATCAATTTGTTACCCAACTGCGTAGGTGAATTGATTTCGAGTTAATATAGTTCTGATATTATTGTTCATACAAATCGTTTGAATAGGACTGATGTCATGTATCATATAATATATATATATATATATATATATATATTATGTTTGTCGACTGAAATTGAATGTTCAGGGATCATAATATTATATTGTATATAATATGTATTTACATTTGGATACGAATACACATCGTTTTGTACATATTATACAATTATATATACATGCAATATAATATATTATAGTTTAAAATTAGTTTTGTGCAGTTTGCACTTGTGTGTAGATGTAATACATGATAATATTAAAATACTATGGTATATATTATATACCATATATACATAATATATATATATATTATATATTTAGATATATATACGTTTTATGGAAATTGTGTATACATGTCTGCTCGATATACATTATTATTATATTATTATTTAATGTCACATTATTTGTTTTTACAACTATTACTAAGTAATAAGTATACATAATATCGAGACAGAAACATATTATATACCTACATAAGTCAATATTAATAAGATATCTGTGTATTTACACTACTATGACGGGGTGTATGATACCGTGCACGAAATCGGAATATTATCTGTATAATGTTATGAATGTAATATGATGATAATTATTAGTGTTTACATGTCCAATATTTGTGCACGAATTTCTTTAATATAATGGATGTTATAATTACGAATATATAGTGGTAGCTGAAGAGCTGCACTTCAAAGTTCTTCAAAACAACGATTTTAGGCCGCGTCTCTCTTTATCATATCACATTATACCCGTTTAATGATCGCGTTTATAATGCACAAGATTATTAACGTTATTAATATACGTTATGGAAACTTATTGAAATGTCGTCAACCAGTTACGCCTAAGTCCGGGTTAGGTATTTTAATTTAACCAACCCTCTCCACGTTTCCACCGTTTCAAGATAGGTGGGGCTTTTTGGTTACTGAGTTACTCATATACGGTACAAAATATATATATACTAAACGGGCTATATCACTGACAAAATATATATATACTAAACGGGCTATGTCACAGACTTGGTTGGTCTACTGGTAAATGGTTTTTTTTTTTTGGGGGGGGGGGGGGGGTCGAACTATGCAGGATGAACATAATAACGATTTGGATACACGAAGTTTTGGTCCTGCTATCAAACTGTTCCTCGCGGTTCCGTTACCGCGTTATAGTTTCCTGTTCGTTCCCAGGCCGTCGGAGACGCGTCTTTCTCTTATCCCACCCGGACGGATCGCCGCCTCGAAATTCTGCGGGACAAATCCCGCGGTGCTGATCTCCTCCTGGCCTGGGTCCAAACTGTTGGAACAATAACACGTATATACATTTAACGTCGTCCGTACATTATATTATTAACTTATAGACCACTATAACCGTTGTGTCGCATTTCAGACAAACAACAAAGTATATATTGACGCCGGTCGCCCGTCCATTGATAAAATATAAGAACTGAATCTCGATCCTATATCATATTATTATAATATTGTTACTATAATGTCATAATTGTATGAGTTATGACATTAATCCATACAGGCCAGTTTTTTTAATGTGTATGATATTGGTTTTTTTTTTAAAGTTTTTCATGGCTGTAAGTCTCTAGCTGAGCTTAATGACAAGGACTAAAAACAATTTACAGAGGTTGGTGAGTTAAATTTATAATTTTTACATAAATAGACTTTATTTTACTTCAAACAGGTTGCTGGTTTACAGCAGTGAAATTGTATAACCCACGTTTGATTCGAAGGTGCAGGGACACGTCTTAATCGTGGAATTACACACTGCAAGAAGAATTTAAGTGGTTGAAAAAAAAAATGTTTTGTTAATTTGTTTATACACTTGCGCTTATTGAGGGTAGCTGGAAGTCTTTCCGAAGTGCTTCGTTCACTGAGCATTCGATGTATTGTCCGCAGAACTTTTGATTCAAAAACTTAGATCTCCTTTGTGCGAGTTTTTGCACAATTACCCAGTGTTGTAGGGACTAGGAACTGCATATTATAATAATAATTGGCGTTAGATTTTATTTTATTGCATACGCGAACAGCTTAATGATGTTTGCCGGTTTATCAATGGGAGTAATATTTTTAGCCTCTGGTAGCATTGTAATATTGTAACTTGGTGTGGTGGTGACATGTGAATTCCGAGTTCCTAAATTACACAGAGATATTTAGCGTGTCGGGTGACCGCAAGGAATGATGTTACCATTAAGCCTTGAATTACGAGTACTGTACGAGTTTTTGGACGACGACGGAGGGTGAATAGAACCGTCGCTGTGATTTTTTTAAGAACTTTAAGGAGTTATATTCTTACTTATTTTTGGATTTCTCGATTGTGTCTAGTAACAATATTATAATATACCTACCGTTGCAAACGTGCATAGTTACACGGTCTATAATAACCTACACTGCAGCTGAAAATCACGGGACGGCGAGAGCTGATTGCCATGCTGCAGTTTAATAGTAGCATTGCCGGTTTCGTTCCGTTTGTAATTAAACCGTTATAATAATTGCATTGCGTGAGGTGCGGGGTTAATGATCAAATATACACCGACAGCGACTTGTATATTGTAATAGAGATGACACGGCCAAGCGCTTTGATGTTTAATTTAAACAGCTGATTGATCGCACGGTACCTGCTGTACAACATCAGGCTAATGGACCGCAGCGAATAAGAGAGGTCATAGTTCGCTGCAGTTATAACGGCGCATATTGTATAGGTACTCGGTTTCGACCCTTATAATTAGTCGACAATGTCAACAATGACTAGCATGGCCGTTGCTCGTCATCGTATTATACTCTATTAAAATTAACATTATATTTATACTAGGTAGGACCTAGCCTACCTGGTAGGTACCTACTTATACACGATAATATTTATGACAAAACGTATAATAATTATTATTATATCTTTCGTCTGCATTCATATAGTACAGACGTAAAAACATATTATAGTGGCGTTATTAGGTGTACAAACGTTATATTCCTAAATCCTAATAATAATAATATGCTGTAATTTCGTAGTTGGTACAATAATGGCTATTATTTTAAAATCAGCATTGCAGAAATTACATTATTAATTATTAGTTATTATACTGTGGACCAAACTATACATATACCGTGTTTGGTTTTATCGTATAGTATTATCGTATATTTAGTACCTAGATACTCGATGAGTACGTTCCAGTAGGTGTCGAAATATACTAGATACATTATACTATGGTTACTTATCTTTGGAGTACGCGATACACATTGATTATTTAAATAGTTTAATAATTCCGATGGAGGTGCTTGCTAATTTATTTTAAGACTTTTTTTCATATAAACACTAATATATCCATAAAGTAGATCAGTACTTTTATTATTTAATAATGACAAAAAAATGATTCAAACGGTTAGAAAGCAAAGTTCTATATTAAAATAGTACAATTATTATAATTTAAAACAATTCAATTCAAATTCAATTCAAATTCAATTCAAATTGTTTTAAAGAAATAGGTAATTTATAACTAATAAGTATAGTTACAAAAATATTTAAAATAAACAATATAATTATATTATACATAGGTACACTGCGTATATGTCTAGTTGTCAATACGTAATCGATAACTAAATTAAATGATTTCACTGCACTATCTGTTTTTTCTCTCTGACACGCATGCAACATTGATTATTTTTGTTCAGTAGAATCAGCTTTGTGTTGTAAGCTCTAGAGTACATTAACTTCTTATTCAACTTAAGATTAAGAACATGGACCCAGGCAACATTAGTCATATAGAATAAGAGAAAACCTCAGGATGATTTGTATAGATAATGCAGAAGTAATATCAATAAACAGGGAGTAGGAGGAATGTCGTTATAATATAGTAATGGACCTGGATGGTCTTTAATGAGTACAAGAAGAAGAAGAATATTAGATGAGTATAGACGGTAGAAATACGGTAATACTTAAGATCAAATGAATATTAATCGCAATAATTATGCATCCAACTTAATATATTTCCAATGTCATAAAAAAAAAAAAAAAATACTAAGCCAATAACGCAAAACAGTGTTCTATAATAATAATAATAATAATAATAATAATAATAATACAATATCATATAATATATGAGTGTTAAAATATGAATTTCTTGCGAAATTGTGACTTCAAATGTGTACGAGATATTCCAGTACTTTCGAATTGTACTATAAGTGGATTGAAATATGAAGGGAGAAAAAAGGATAAGTGTGCTTTCTTGCTCATGATGACGTATTATACAATTTATTTATCTCGCAATTTATATTCGTTTTCGATGTTCTGGTATACATCAAGAATGTAGTCGGAAAATATGAAAACAAAATGTGGAAAATATCCTAATTGTATTATGGGATTTCATGTCTTATAACTGAGGAAATAAACAATTCAAAAATTCAAAAATTATTATATTTAACTATAAATGTATATTGTCACTTATTACAAAAGCAAGTTGATTAACACATAAGATATTCATCATCGTATTAAAAAAAAAAAATGAAGACGTTTTAGATGAGCAGCTGCAATAATATTATAAATGTTATAATGGATCATCACGACTGCAACTGATTCCGGCCTTGATGCGTAAAAATTGTTGAGTATAATCAAAAACAAATAGTATTGTGTTTTGATTCAGTCAAACCGGCGGAATACTAAAGGAATACTTGAAACTATAATAACAGACGTGTCTCTGGAGCGCCAGACGAATAGAATAGGCAGGGGAGGGGAGTGAGGCAGTAACGCTATGATCGTAATATTGGCATGAATAGTCGTGTTGTTGTCGCTATATCGTCTTATGCGGTACCGTTGTTATTGTTGTTGCACGTGTAGAAATCTTAGCGGGTTACTCGTCGAGGGACAGATAGAAAGAGACCGAGAGATGAAGATAGAGTGAGAGTCGTGGAGAGAGTGAGATATAGACGGCTCGACGGCCATTTATCATCGGAACCTGCAGCCACCGCTTGTACAAACGAGACGGTTTAAGGGGATTGGAAGCGGCGATTTTCTGTCTTTATCTAACACACGTGGAACATAGGATTATAGACGTGTTCTATGTCCAACGTACCGATTAATCTAATGAAGCGATAAGAATTCTGAAAACAGATTTGAATTTGTCGTCAAGTCTACTTGAGATCGACTTTCCCACATTTTTGATTTTTTGATTTAAACTTCTCCAAAAGTTGAAATTTGTAAATTTTTTAAGTACTTTTTATAATATATCATTTTTATGATTTTGGTGGGACAATATCAAAAATGTGGGAAAGTCGATCTCAAGTAGACTTGACGACAAATTCAAATCTGTTTTCAGAATTCTTATCGCTTCATTAGATTAATCGGTACGTTGGACATAGAACACGTCTATAATCCTATGTTCCACGTGTGTTAGATAAAGACAGAAAATCGCCGCTTCCAATCCCCTTAAATGGGTTCGCGTGTAGCCATCACCACGGCGGAAAACACCTCCGCCGACTGACTAACATCATCGCCGTCCTTCTGCCCCCGCCACGACTCGTATATGATGGACACGCCGTGACGAGGTCGGGACATGGGAAGGGATGGCGTGGGATGGGATTAATGTGAAGGGGGTGCATAACAGCTTGCGCAGCGTTATTAAAAAAAAATTTACCGACTTGCTCCAGTACTATAACCACCCTCCCCCGCCCGACCTATAAAATATTATAAAGTAGTGAGGGGGGGGGACGATGATGGCGGAGGAAAAAAACAGATGGCCCAGAGAACCGTTAACGTAAAACACACACACACACACACACACACACACACACACACGCACATACACTGCTTCGTGGATTACTGAGTGATGGTCGCTGGATTGCTTGAATCTGGTGCATTGGGAAGAGGCAAATGTATGGGGAGGGTTGCGTGGGTTTCGAGACAAAGGGCAGATAGTCAAAGTTACTTGGTGCATGGTTCTTATTATTATATTTCGTCGATTTTAAGCATAGGTTCATCAAAGTATATGTGGCTGAAAAAAACTAAGTTTATAGGTACATTTTAGACATTACCGTTTACTGGTATAGGTGTACAAAATATGCGAAAATGGTTTTTCTGTTATCACATAAACTATAAAGTGTTGGATTTTTTGGAAGACCCAATAGCGTACATGACTTGTACCGAAGAAGATCGCATATTACTATATAGTTGACGCCAAAGACATGATAGTTGAATATTATATTCCGAGTATTTTATAATAATATATTGGTTGTGTTTTCGCGAGTTGTAGGATAGCGACTTATAAATCGGATTATTCTATAATGCAATAAAACAGCTGCTGTGGTTACTATGAT